ACAGAGACAAAGAGACACAGAGACTCAGAGACACAGAGACACAGAGACAAAGAGACACAGAGACTCAGAGACACAGAGACACAGAGACACAGAGACTCAGAGACTCAGAGACAAAGACACAGAGACTCAGAGACACAGAGACACAGAGACAAAGAGACACAGAGACTCAGAGACACAGAGACACAGAGACACAGAGACTCAAGACAAAGAGACACAGAGACTCAGAGACACAGAGACACAGAGACAAAGAGACACAGAGACTCAGAGACAAAGAGACACAGAGACTCAGAGACTCAGAGACTCAGAGACAAAGAGACACAGAGACTCAGAGACACAGAGACACAGAGACAAAGAGACACAGAGACTCAGAGACACAGAGACACAGAGACACAGAGACTCAAAGACAAAGAGACACAGAGACTCAGAGACACAGAGACACAGAGACAAAGAGACACAGAGACTCAGAGACACAGAGACACAGAGACTCAGAGACACAGAGACTCAAAGACAAAGAGACACAGAGACTCAGAGACACAGAGACACAGAGAAAAGAGACACAGAGACTCAGAGACACAGAGACACAGAGACACAGAGACTCAGAGACAAAGAGACTCAGAGACACAGAGACACAGAGACTCAGAGACAAAGAGACACAGAGACACTGAGACACAGAGACACAGAGACTCAGAGACAAAGAGACACAGAGACACAGAGACACAGAGACACAGAGACAAAGAGACACAGAGACACAGAGACACAGAGACTCAGAGACTCAGAGACACAGAGACACAGAGACACAGAGACACAGAGACACAGAGACACAGAGACACAGAGACTCAGAGACAAAGAGACACAGAGACTCAGAGACTCAGAGACTCAGAGACAAAGAGACACAGAGACTCAGAGACACAGAGACACAGAGACAAAGAGACACAGAGACTCAGAGACACAGAGACACAGAGACACAGAGACTCAAAGACAAAGAGACACAGAGACTCAGAGACACAGAGACACAGAGACAAAGAGACACAGAGACTCAGAGACACAGAGACACAGAGACACAGAGACTCAGAGACACAGAGACTCAAAGACAAAGAGACACAGAGACACAGAGACAAAGAGACACAGAGACTCAGAGACACAGAGACACAGAGACTCAGAGACAAAGAGACACAGAGACTCAGAGACACAGAGACACAGAGACTCAGAGACAAAGAGACACAGAGACACTGAGACACAGAGACACAGAGACTCAGAGACAAAGAGACACAGAGACTCAGAGACACAGAGACTCAGAGACACAGAGACTCAGAGACAGAGACACAGAGACTCAGAGACAGAGACACAGAGACTCAGAGACAGAGACACAGAGACTCAGACACAGAGACACAGAGACAGAGACACAGAGACTCAGAGACAGAGACACAGAGACTCAGACACAGAGACACAGAGACTCAGAGACAGAGACACAGAGACTCAGAGACACAGAGACTCAGAGACACAGAGACTCAGAGACAGAGACACAGAGACTCAGAGACAGAGACACAGAGACTCAGACACAGAGACACAGAGACAGAGACACAGAGACTCAGAGACAGAGACACAGAGACTCAGACACAGAGACTCAGAGACAGAGACACAGAGACTCAGAGACACAGAGACTCAGAGACTCAGAGACAGAGACACAGAGACTCAGAGACAGAGACACAGAGACTCAGACACAGAGACACAGAGACAGAGACAGAGACACAGAGACTCAGAGACACAGAGACTCAGAGACACAGAGACTCAGAGACAGAGACTCAGAGACACAGAGACACAGAGACTCAGAGACTCAGAGACAGAGACTCAGAGACACAGAGACACAGAGACTCAGAGACTCAGAGACTCAGACACAGAGACTCAGACACAGAGACTCAGAGACTCAGAGACTCAGAGACAGAGACACAGAGACACAGAGACTCAGAGACACAGAGACTCAGAGACACAGAGACTCAGAGACTCAGAGACACAGAGACACAGAGACTCAGAGACACAGAGACTCAGAGACTCAGAGACTCAGAGACACAGAGACTCAGAGACTCAGAGACAAAGAGACACAGAGACTCTAGAGACTCAGAGACAGAGACACAGAGACACAGAGACTCAGAGACAAAGAGACTCAGAGACTCAGAGACTCAGAGACTCAGACTCAGAGACACAGAGACACAGAGACTCAGAGACACAGAGACACAGAGACTCAGAGACTCAGAGACAGAGACACAGAGACTCAGAGACACAGAGACACAGAGACTCAGAGACTCAGAGACTCAGAGACACAGAGACACAGAGACTCAGAGACACAGAGACTCAGAGACTCAGAGACACAGAGACTCAGAGACTCAGAGACACAGAGACACAGAGACTCAGAGACACAGAGACTCAGAGACTCAGAGACAAAGAGACTCAGAGACTCAGAGACACAGAGACTCAGAGACTCAGAGACACAGAGACACAGAGACACAGAGACTCAGAGACTCAGAGACACAGAGACTCAGAGACTCAGAGACTCAGAGACAGAGACACAGAGACTCAGACACAGAGACTCAGAGACACAGAGACACAGAGACACAGAGACACAGAGACTCAGAGACACAGAGACACAGAGACACAGAGACACAGAGACTCAGAGACACAGAGACACAGAGACTCAGAGACACAGAGACTCAGAGACACAGAGACTCAGAGACACAGAGACACAGAGACTCAGAGACACAGAGACTCAGAGACACAAAGACACAGAGACTCAGAGACTCAGAGACTCAGAGACACAGAGACACAGAGACACAGAGACACAGAGACACAGAGACTCAGAGACTCAGAGACACAGAGACTCAGAGACAGAGACTCAGAGACTCAGAGACAGAGACACAGAGACACAGAGACTCAGAGACTCAGAGACACAGAGACACAGAGACTCAGAGACAGAGACTCAGAGACTCAGAGACAGAGACACAGAGACACAGAGACTCAGAGACACAGAGACACAGAGACTCAGAGACTCAGAGACTCAGAGACTCAGAGACACAGAGACACAGAGACACAGAGACTCAGAGACACAGAGACACAGAGACTCAGAGACTCAGAGACAGAGACTCAGAGACTCAGAGACAGAGACACAGAGACACAGAGACTCAGAGACACAGAGACACAGAGACTCAGAGACTCAGAGACACAGAGACTCAGAGACACAGAGACTCAGAGACTCAGAGATCATATCATCTGTTCTTTTCTGCACATCTGGAACTTAAACAGCAGAAGAAGCATCACATGGCTACAGAGAAGAAAACAAATAAATCCACAGTGAAGGTCTCTGTGTCATCAAACTGAAGGTGTAGTTATTTTAAAAAAGGAAATATAAAAGGTGAATAATGATCTACAAACAATAAGATGAATCCATTAAAGATGTTTATCTCTTCACAGCCTTAACCCTAAGATTAACAGTCTATCATATAAATATATGAATATATTTATAATATCTATCTATATATAAATATCTTTATCTATATATATCGATAAAGATATCTTGATAGATATATCAATAAAGTTGATCTTTATCTTTTATCTTGACAGGTGAAACGTAGTTAGCGGAAGTTAAGCTAACGTTAGCTAACATTAGAAACAACAAACAGTAATTAATAATAATAATAATAATAATAATAAAGTAAAAGCTGTGTATTCCTTCTGTATTTTAAACTTTGACTCACCTTGTCTCACATTAATTTACCGCTGTGTTGGCAGGATTTTGACTTTCCTGTTGACTTTAGTGAAACTGTGAAGTTTGAGTTTGTCTCGCGTGACCATGGTAACAGCAGGCAAGACGTGGTGACGTCATGCCGTGTTGCTTTCATGGGCTGTAGGAAACAATTTAACTAATGAACGGAACCACAAGAAAGACGATAAAAACGTCCAGTTAAATACAATAAATCCTTTACTCATATTAAAATACAACAAGACATACTCCTCTATAAGTAAAGGCAAAGAATGGAAAAGCTTTGTTTTCTAAAGAGTGTTTTTTATTTGTGTTTTAGCAGGTTGGGCTTCTTCTTTTACTTGACACAGAGAGGTTAGTGATCAGTTTCATATTTACAGTAAAAATAAAAGCTCAATATAATAATGACTTTATAGAATATAATCTCATTCAGTCTTAATTCATTAGTAAGTGTTGTATGAATGAAAGATGTAACAACTAACACAGAACATCTGAAATCAAGTTGATGTCAATAAAAGACAAAACAAAGTCTGAAGTGTCCCTGAAGGCAACTTCCTAACTGTCCATTAAACAGCTCTGCAGTCTTTTATCTGCTTCCTAAACTGTCCAGTTGTGTCGTTGTTAAAGAATCCAAGAATATTAAATCATTTATCTTCTTTTCAAACAGCTCTCCTTGTTTCCTTCCTCTTCTGGCTCTATGTGACTCACCCAGAGAGTGGCAGATGTAGGATCTCTTCCAGTCACGCATCCACTCCTCCCAGCCCCCTTTGTTGTTAAAGTCTGCTGCAGCAGAAGCCTCCTTTGGGTCTAAGGGGTTAGGTTCTGCTCTCCCCGGACTCCAGTACCTAAACGAGGAGTTACTGCCATCAAACCACTTCCAGGACTCTCTGGAGAGGCCGATCCAGACTCTCTGTCCAGAAGGAACCAGCTGATCCACCTCCTGGTTCTGGTCCAGCTTTATCACACTATGAGTCTGATTCTATAACTTCATTATGTTAGCACAGCTGCTGTCCTCAAATCTGTCACAATTACAATAAGACTTTTAAAGACCCCAGATTGGATTGAAGAATATTAAAAACCTTGTCTGAAAAAGAACGAGTAATACTAGAAGGCATGAACCTTTATTGTTGACTTGTGTTCTTATTGGTATTATAAATAAAAATCAATAAAAAATCAATAAAGACAGGAGATTTATCATGAGGACAAAATGTTTATCACATTGTGAAACAACATTAAAGTCATTCTGAGGCTGAACACAAACATGCACAACGTTAATATCTCGTCTTATTTTCTCTTTTTGTTGAATCTCATCGATTTAATCTGAACTAATCATCATTTATCTTCACTCATAAAAGTTAAACTATTCTTTAAACTCTCATATAGTGTTACAATGCTGGATGTCTAAACTAAACGTTGGCACAGTTTCACATCATGAGATAAATGTGTGTTGGAGCAATCCCAGGATAAACCTGTAGAGGGCGCTAAACAGCTTGTTCTGTAAATCACGCCATAGTTCCCCGATGTGAATCCAAGAATTTCACCAGACGGCTTTGAGCCTCTGAAACCTCTTACAGAGACTCTCTTTTCCCAGTGCTCTGGCAGCCCTGCAGCGTTCTGCCCCCTCACAGGAAGGCTTCCAGAGAGCTGGCCAATCAGAAGAGAGAGGGCATGTGGAGATCAATCGGATCATGTAAAGCTGCTCTGAAGGTTTCACACACTGACGACATGAGAGGTGAACATGAGGTCAAAGGTCAACACGAGGTCAAAGGTCAACATGAGGCCGAGATGGAGCTTTAAACATGTTCTAAATATAAAGTGAAAAATGTCTGCTACACTTCCCTCGATCGACTGAAAGTAAGTTTATTGCAGCTCAGTCTATGACAAATCAAAGCTTTAAATAAATACAGAAACAGATGTTTATATTGAAAATGGTTAAAAGGACTAAATAATCAACAAACAGCTGGATCTTATCAACGCTCTATCTCACTTCACAAAAAGAGGAAAACAAACAAAGTCTTTTCAACATTCGGGCGTTTCCTTCTTCTCCTCACTCTCCTCCTTCTGGAAGACGTTTCCACCCGGCTGCCTCCTCCAGCTCAGTCGGATGTTTTCATGCAGCCCCTCGTCCCTCAGCTTCTGTCGGAGCTGACAAACACAAATCACAATATTCTCCATCATACGTCTGTTCTTCTTCTCTGGAGACGCCCCCAACCATCTTAAAGGGATACTTCAGCCGTTAAAACATGAATCTGCCTCTGCTGCAGCTGATGCATAACACCCGCCTGTCGGCACGCCGCCGCCACCTCGCTGCTGTAAAACGGCTTGTTCAGATAACCACGAACATCCGATTCGAGCACAAGACCTTCAAAAATAACATTCACCCATCTCAGTTTGAAGTTAAAACATCATCAGCTTTCTCCAAAGAGCCTGTTTGCATAGCTACCAAGCAATATGGCGGCATGAGTCACTCACTGATCTGTGATTGGTCTGTAGCTTCAGTGGTTGAAAATATGAGGAACTAGCATCGTAGTTTCACCCTGCTAACCGCAAGAGGACGCAAAATGAAGATTTCTGCGTCACTTGAAGCTCCTTTTCAGACTCAGAAATACAAAGATTTCACATCTCAGGGGAAAATGAGGGCGGGATGCACGAGCATTCAGAAACACTACCAGGTTTCTAATGAAACAAAGATTAATGCTAATGGGTGAAGTATCCCTTTAAATGTTTTTCTCATTTGTTAACAGTTCAACCAAGAGATCTTTTTTTAACATCTATCTGTTGCATTTGGTGGAACATGACTTTCTGCTTGAGATGGATTTTCTCTCTGTAGAGGTTTGGACATGTAGCTCACTCCCTGCTCTGATAGGGTCAGCCGTTTCTATGACAACCAAGGTCACTTTGTGTCTCCTTCATGTCTGGATTGTTTGGCCGACTGTCTCCATTATCTGAGACGTTACGTTCTGGTACATTCACTGTATCACATGTGTGTTGTTAAGTCAGATATAAACTACTTCCTCCCTCTGACTCTCCTGAGTCTTTGTCGTGTGGAGTTGAGTATCTACACATTCCCTCAACACCGCTGAGAACACCAGCTTTGGAGAGAAACAGGAAGTATGTGCAACTATTAGAATGAATACAAAATCCCCATTAGGACCTCAAACCCATACTTCCTCCAACCACAGGAAGTTCAACCCTGAAAACTTCTGGAGGAAGACAAACCATCAGAACATAAGTATCAGAGTTTATTGAGTCATTGTTTTGATTTCAAATGGCTCTGAATCTGTTTCCTGTCTCTTAACATGACTTCCTGTGCTACTGTCATTTGAATATATCTTTCAGGGATCACTGAAGCCTCGTGTTGTCTCATTTACATTTTCTTCTAAGAGTCATTTGGTTATTTCTGCATGAAATGATAAAAAGGTCAAACATGATTCACCTGCTGCAGGATGTGTTCCATCACAGCAGAGTGGTTCAGATCCACAGAGGGGTTCTTCTTCTTCTGCACACTCACTCTGATCACCTGTTGCGTGATCCCTGAGGGGAAGACAGAAACATGTGTTCACATCAGTTTGGGTTTCCTTCAAAAGTAACATCCTCTGAGCACTGAGTCCACAACTTGCAGTCACTTATGGCTTAAATCCATCGCTTAAAACACAAACATCTGAATAATCAGATTGATTCAACTCACCTGCAGTGTAGCAGATGTATGATCTCTTATAGCCACAGGGCCAGTCCTCCCATTTCCCAAAGTTGCCAAAGTCTGCGGACACACAAGCCTCCTTTGAAAAGAGGTTATTAGGCTCTGAGAAGCCCAGGTTCCAGTACCTAAACGAGGAGTTACTGCCATCCAACCACTTCCAGGTCTCTCTGGAGAGGCCGATCCAGACTGCCTGTAGAAAAGGGATCAGCTCCTTTATCTTCTGGTTCTCGTCCAGGTTTCTCACACTGGCCAGGTCAGTGTGGTGTTCTCTGCAGTAGCTCTGGGCCTCAGTCCATGACATGTCGGTGGAGATGAGGACAAAGGTCACATTCGACCCTGAAGAGAGACCACAGCTCATAATCAAACATCACCATGTTAAAATGTCTATCTTTACAGCTGCAGTTCCTCCAGTGTCCACTAGAGTCTGACTCCTGCAGTGAGTCAGTCCTCATAGAGCTCCATGTTAAAATGTCTAACTTTACAGCTGCAGTTCCTCCAGTGTCCACTAGAGTCTGTCTCCTGCAGTGAGTCAGTCCTCATAGAGCCCCATGTTAAAATGTCTAACTTTACAGCTGCAGTTCCTCCAGTGTCCACTAGAGTCTGACTCCTGCAGTGAGTCAGTCCCCATAGAGCTCCATGTTAAAATGTCTAACTTTACAGCTGCAGTTCCTCCAGTGTCCACTAGAGTCTGACTCCTGCAGTGAGTCAGTCCCCATAGAGCTCCATGTTAAAATGTCTAACTTTACAGCTGCAGTTCCTCCAGTGTCCACTAGAGTCTGACTCCTGCAGTGAGTCAGTCCCCATAGAGCCTCAAAGTGAGGTCAAACAGCTCAAAGGAACAGTAACAAAAGTCAATGTGTGATGCCACAAGGTGTGTGATGTCATAAGGTCAGTGTGTGATGTCATAAGGTGGATATTACTTTGGACTCATCAGCTGAGCTGTCTGAGAGTTTGTTAAAGTGAAATGAGACATTCAGACTGAAAGGGTTCTGTGGGATAAACCTGAGCTGGTGATTAATGTAATTAACTACATGTATTTAAACGGACACTTTAAATGTGTTCTGCAGTCGCTTGCAAGTAACTTCCATCTGATTTTAATGGTTACCTTAAAGAAGTTGAAAATAAATAAAGCCGATGTGTTTCTAAGATTATTCATCATTTTTTAAATGTCTCACCTGTGAGGTCGCAGCAGACAGACTTAAGGTTATCCGTGCATTGCAAATCGTTCCATAATCCGTCAGAATGCATTATTGTGCAGTGTTGTGCACTTTGTGCGTTGTCAGGCATTCCTCCTGCCCACTGTCTGAACTCGACCTCTCCAGCGTCGTAGAAACTCGGGTCTGACAGTGACCAGCTCCAGCTGTCCACGTCATCGTACAGACCAATCCAGGCTCGCTGAAAGCAACATGAGATTCATTTGACTTTGTTTGCAGCATCATTTTGTGACATATATACACAGTATGTTCAAGTCTAAGAGACCTGTGGTTCTCAACTGGTCTCTCCTCAGGACCCACTCCCAACACCTTAAAGGTGACATATCCTCCTCCTCCTCTTCTTCAGTGTAAATAAGTCTCAGAGCTCCTCAAAACATGTGTGTGAAGTTTCTTGTTCTAAATCCACTCTGATCCTGTTTTTGATCATGTCTATAAACCCCTCTATTTCAGCCCTGCTCAGAACAGGCTGTTTCTGTATCTGTACCTTTAAATATGTAAATGAGCTGTGTATGACCACGCCCCCTCTCTGGAAGGGCTTGGGTGTCTCTGTGCTTTCTCGCTCCATGTCCTATTGTTTACGGTGAGAAGGCAGACTCAGAGGGCAGAACAAACACCTAGCTGTGGGAGTGTCACCCACCTGGGGAGGGGCTACTGCCCTTTGTGATGTCATGAAGGCAGACTCAGAGGGCAGAACAAACACCTAGCTGTGGGAGTGTCACCCACCTGGGGGAGGGGTTACTGCCCTTTGTGATGTCATGAAGGCAGATTCAGAGGTCAGAACAAACACCTAGCTGTGGGAGTGTCACCCACCTGGGGGAGGGGTTACTGCCCTTTGTGATGTCATGAAGGCAGACTCAGAGGTCAGAACAAACACCTAGCTGTGGGAGTGTCACCCACCTGGGGGAGGGGCTACTGCCCTTTGTGATGTCATGAAGGCAGACTCAGAGGGCAGAACAAACACCTAGCTGTGGGAGTGTCACAGTGTCAGTTGAGAACCACGGGGTCACAGAGCTGCTCTCATTGGTTCTGCTTAAGTGTACTCAGGCCCTTTAATGGAAACACTCACATAAAATATAAGTTCTGGGTTAGGTTGGAAACCTTATCTGCTCACTCTGCACCACTAAAAGTCAAAATGTGACACAAAGGTTTGGTGACCTATAGTGACCTTACATTGCTGTAGTCAATCTGCCACATTTGGCTTAGATCGGCCATGCTCGTCAGGGTGTCCACGTCCTCCATGCTGGTTATGGTGGCCAGGTCTGTGTGTTTGTCTCTGCAGAAGGCCCGGGCTTCATCTCGGGTCTTGTGGTCATAATAAAAAAAGAACCGTCGTTTCACTTGTGGTGACTCGGCACACAGTCCTGTAAAGACGTACACATGGATCAGTTAAAGCTTAAAGGACGAGATGGTCTCACGTTTCTTAAAGGTCCCATATTCTTCTTTTTCTGGTTTTATCTGCCCTTTAGTGTGTTTTCCAAGTGTCCTGTGCATGTTTAGTCACATCTATTTGCAAAAATTCAAAGTCCGCAGAAACGCGGCTTCTCCTACGTTCTCCTGTTAGCTGTAGCATTAGCTGCATGTAACGCTCGGTTCTAGCCCCCCTCGATAAAAATTTGTTAGTCCGACGTCATTGTCAGTTTGAGATCACTGATCTAAGCCCATTGGCTCGCTGACTGTATGCTCTGTGATGAACAGACATGTTAATAATATAAATAAAGACACTGACTGTATGCTCTGTGATGAACAGACATGTTAATAATATAGATAAAGACACTGACTGTATGCTCTGTGATGAACAGACATGTTAATAATATAGATAAAGACACTGACTGTATGCTCTGTGATGAACAGACATGTTAATAATATAGATAAAGACACTGACTGTATGCTCTGTGATGAACAGACATGTTAATAATATAAATAAAGACACTGACTGTATGCTCTGTGATGAACAGACATGTTAATAATATAAATAAAGATGTACACTGACTGTATGCACCGTGTTTATTAATCAAACTTCATAAATGAAGACTTGCCTGAAGCAGCGACGGTGAAGAGCAGAAGAAGAAGAGCGTCCATCTTCAGACTGGTGTCTTCTGTTTCAGACGTCGTCGGGATCTTTTCCCCTGAAAATGATTTGAATATTTACATATCAGGGAAATTTGATAATCTGATGTCATGTTTCTGGGCAGCAGCCGCACACAGTCGGGTAACATGACATTAATAAATGAACTGTGGAGATTTTTATTTAAAATATTGAATATGTATCATGACATGTAAAGAGGGTTAGGGTCATTTCAATCAAAACAGTCAAAAAGGTGGGCTGTTGGCATCATCACAACCTGCAGCTGTCCATAAGTCAAGGGTTCTCTCCCCTGGACCAACACAATAACTAAAGGTAGATAATAATAAGGATGTATATTTAGAATCTACTACAAACACAGGTTTGACTTTAAAGATTTTAAACACTCACAAAAACTTCAAGCATGCTTCAACCCTAAAGTCCACAACGCTGACAGCCCTCATAATGAAGTGTTCAGTTTGTATCTGACTAACACGACTCAAAGTAAAGACAGGAAGTAGCTGTCACGTTCTCTGATGTGCGGACGCCGGTCCCCTAATGGGGAGGAAGGGGGGGCAATCGTGCTTAACCACGGTACGACAACATCGCCAGTGTGGCTGCGCCCTAAATGGGTTCTGGTGGACTGCGGGTCTGAAGCGCCCTGTGGGATAAAGTCTGAGACGTTTCTTATTTCAGAGACTTAAAGTGACCGGATCAGATTCATGTATAGTCTGTGGATCTGTTGGAAAGAAACCCATGAAGAAGAAACACTGGTTCACCTGAGGTTCTGATCCTCCTGTAGTCTTCATGAGGCCTCAGGAACTCTCCGAGGAGACTTCACTGTCGCAGCTTCGACTCGTTTGATACGCTCTGTAACGTATTGACCTGAAGTAAACCCAAACTCACAGGACACAAACCCCCCCCCCCACTCTTCCTGTTTACTGATAACAAAAGCCATTCATTTGATTAACTGTTAATCAACACGGCAGGGGAGACCTTTGATGTGACATGGACTCTATCTCAAACTGACCTAACAGCTTTAGACCTGTTGAACAAACTGTCTTAACCAACATAATCCATTTCTGATATAAAAGAATTTCGGTTCAATCCCTGAATCGGATATATACATTCATGACATCAAGACTAACACTTTCATGCAAGTTATATTCAACTACGATTATTTATGACAAATTTAGATATTTAAGGATTAAATCACATTACCTGATGAACCCTCCCTGAATCTTACGTGGAGCACTACTGCCCCCTAGTGGCAAGAGCGCTGTACTGATCTGAGTTTTATGATACGTTAATATGTGATTTTGTCGTAGTTCTAAACTTAGTATTTTAAGATATGATTTTATACTCTTCATACTATATTAATGTGTTTTTGAATGTTGAATGTTATAATTCTGGTTTCATTCCCAAACAGGCGGAAATCGTCTGACTGTCCTCAGGTTTGATGTAATGTCTATTTCATTGCATATTTGTTTGAAATGTTTAATGTCTGAGATAATTCTACATACGAATATTGACATGGTGATGTTCATATGATCAAAGTTCTTATTTATGCTCTTAATAAGTAAAGAGCTCGGAGTGGATTAAATTAATAGATAAATGTCGAAGGCGGGTTAGATATTAGGCCCCGCCCCCTCGTAAAAGTCATCCCCAGAATAAAGCAGCTTGTTTCTCAGGAGTTCGCTCTCTTGTAAAATTCTTCTCTTCTTAAGTTTTCTTCACCCTCTGAGACGTCTCTTGTTAATTCTTGTTTCGAACCACTTTGTTTCTTTACATTTTGCCGACGCGAAACTCTTTGAATTTAAGCCCGGACTCGCAGGACCTGCAGACCTCGACTCCAACTTAAACCAACCCTGATTCTTCATGCCCGCATCCAAAGGCTCTTTTTCCTACAGACCCGCGCCGCTTTCCTTTTTTTCCCTTTTTGAAGTATTGATCATTCGTCTTCCAGAACATTATTTTCTCCATTCTCACACTTGACTACAAGTGACCATTCAAGTGAGGATCAACGAGCGTCAATCCTGATGAACGTTAATTAAGACTCTTTGAGCCGCTGAGAGAAGGACCCACGGACCCACGGACCCATTGACTGATTGGACCGCTGTGTTTTTCTTCAAACCCTTCTCATTATCGAGTCCGACCAGACCTGCTACGGCGGTTATTGTGGGCCACCGGCATTCCTGATCCGAAAGAACTCTTTCCCAAATCCCACTTCGTTAAATCCCTCAAACAATATCGCTTTTAAACTCCAAATCTGACATAACAGAAACAACACAATATTATTATTCACGTTATATCACTGTCGTAATTACATTCTTTGCCTATTCATTTCCTTTAAACATTTTATGTTCATCATTTTTCTTTATTAAACTTTCATATATCATTTCAGTACTTTGTCTGTGTAATTTTATGGTTTTACTGCTTGAGAATTCACCCCAATGATATGAGACAGATTTATAGATTAATTAATTACTACAGGTAATATTAGTTTCCTTACTTAACAAGGACGGTGCCCCGAGTTATATAATGAAAGTAGTTTATCCTCTACAGCTCCAATGTTTTGTGTTCGAGGTCGTACGCACATCTAAACGCAGCGTTCAGCCTGACTGAGAGCTGAAGTTGTTTTTATTTGTGCTTTAACTGAAAGACCGAGCAGCTGACTGGACGGGGCTGCAGCTGACTGGAAGGGGCTGCTGCTGACTGGACGGGGCTGCAGCTGACTGGACGGGGCTGCAGCTGACTGGACGGGGCTGCAGCTGACTGGAAGGGGCTGCAGCTGACTGGACGGGGCTGCAGCTGAAATTATTTATTCCATATTCCAGAAACAATGGATGGAATGGATCAGGTGGATAAATGTTTATTCTCCCCTTCCTTATGAAACAAGATGAATCTAAAGAGACAGTCTTCTTGTACTTACAGTTATTTATTGTATTCCTTTATTTAACACAGACACATGAACATGGCTTCATCTGTCAAATGATTACATGCAGGTTTGTAGCCGTGGCAATGTTGCAGTCCCTGCTCGGCTTTTAGGATTTGAACAGAATGATTAGACTTAAAGAGAAAGAGTTAAACTTTACAAATACAGAAACATGATCACCTCGTTACAGTTAAGAGACTGAACGAGACCAAACAGGAAGTCGTTTTAGAGTACCACTGCCGAAAAGAAAACTTACAAAAACTCTTATTGTCACTGCAATACACATTTTAAAAAAGGGTAGATAAGCAATGTTTTTTAAATGCTGTGCATGTGTTTTTAACTATTTAAGGTACTTTGAGCTGTTTATGACCTGATGTGAGTGTTAGTGTGAATGTTTGTATGTTTTCATGTTGAGCCTCAACAAAAGGTCATTTTCTGTCACAGTGTGATAGACAATAAAGTTTTTTGAATCTTTGAATCTTTGAATCAGTAAAGTGAGGATTATAAGAGGAAACAGACGTGCTTCAGGTTTCAGCCTCTGTACCAATGAAATGAAAGAACTCTTTTGTACCATACGATAAACGTGGGAACGATCCATTGACCAATGACAAACATCTTCCACTAGTCTACAGCTCGTCTTTTGGTTTTGTAATCATCTTCTTCTTCTTCTCCTCTTTGTGGAACACCTTCCCGTCCGCCTGCTTCCTCCAGCTCAGTTTGACGTCTTCTTGCTGTTTGAGCTGCACATACAGAAACAGGAAACAGAGAAACTGAGGATACAATTACAAAATAAAACAGGAAATCAAAATCAAGCAACAACAACAGGAAATAAACAAAGTAAACTAAGAGTCAATCATGACAGTGTGCGATTGAGACAGTGTGCAGGAGTTTTGATACTGAATGTTGCCTTGGACTTCTATATTTGTTGCCATGGTAACAAAGAGGCATCGGTAAAGTAAAATCATTACTAGTTTCATGTGGAAGTTTCAAATTGTGGTACGGTGAAATTGACTGGGAGTGAAAGCTGCTCTGGTGTTTCCCTCTGCTACACAGCTGTTATATTTATTCAGTTATAACATCTGTATCATGATGGACGGGCGTGTACCTGCTTCAACATGGCGTCCATCACTGCAGCGTCATTCAGATCCAGAGAGGAGCTTCTCTTCACCAGCCTCACTTTGACCACTCGTTGTGAAAGTGAAGCGTCTTTGAGAAGCAGACAGACGGGATCATTCATGATGTGTGTGTGTGTGTGTGTGTGTGTGTGTGTGTGTGTGTGTGTGTGTGTGTGTGTGTGTGTGTGTGTGTGTGTGTGTGTATGTGTATGTGTGTGTGTATGTGTATGTGCGTGTGTGTATATGTGTGTGTGTGTGTGTGTGTGTGTGTGTATGTGTGTGTGTGTGTGTGTGTGTGTGTGTGTGTGTGTGTGTGTATATGTGTGTGTGTGTGTGTATGTGTATGTGCGTGTGTGTATGTGTGTGTGTATGTGTGTGTGTATGTGTGTGTGTATATGTGTGTGTGTGTGTGTGTATGTGTGTGTGTGTGTATGTGTGTGTGTATGTGTGTGTGTATGTGTGTGTGTATATGTGTGTGTGTGTGTGTGTATGTGTGTGTGTGTGTATGTGTGTGTGTATGTGTGTGTGTATATGTGTGTGTGTGTGTGTGTGTATGTGTGTATGTGTGTATGTATGTGTGTGTGTGTGTGTGTGTGTGTGTGTGTGTATGTGTGTGTATGTGTGTGTGTGTGTGTGTGTGTGTGTGTGTGTATGTGTGTGTGTATGTGTGTATGTGTGTGTGTGTGTGTGTGTGTGTATGTATGTGTGTGTGTGTGTGTGTGTATGTGTGTGTGTGTGTGTGTGTGTGTGTGTGTGTGTGTGTGTGTGTGTGTATGTGTGTGTGTGTGTGTGTATGTGTGTGTGTGTGTGTGTGTGTGTGTGTGTGTGTGTGTGTGTGTGTGTGTGTGTGTGTGTGTGTGTGTGTGAAGTCACAATATTTTTCTTATAAATTAAACTTTTTATTCAATAAATACTCGTTCAAAAAAATTCTATCCAGTGGACGTCTGTCGTTTTCTTTGTGAGGAGTGGTTGGGCGGCGCCATAGCGCCCTCTATTGACCAGCCACCAATGATTAAATCCACAATGTAACATTAGGGAATGATAGCTCACCTCTGTAGCAGATGGATGCTCTCTTGTAGTGACAGGACCAGTCCTCCCATCTGCCTGACTTTTCAAAATGAGCGGCCACACATTTCTCGTTTTGTGAGCAGTTATTGGGTTCATTTTCACCCCAGTACCTAAACAAAGAATTACTTCCATCCATCCACTTCCAGGTCTCTCTGGAGAGGCCGATCCAAACCTCATGTCCTGAGCTCAGGTTCTTTATCTTCTGGTTCTCGTCCAGGTTTCTCACGCTGGCCAGGTCAGTGTGGTGTTCTCTGCAGTATCTCTGGGCCTCAGTCCATGACATGTTGGTGTTGATGAGGACAAAGGTCACATTCGACCCTGAAGAGAGACCACAGTGTTGTACCAAACTGAATCCAAGAAGTATCTGTGCCTCTTTGACAGTTTAAAACTCTGTGTGTATTAAATGTTCATAACGTTTAAATAATACATTCTTTATCATTTGATTCTGTGTATTCTTATCACATTAAACCGGGAACGACGGCACATCCTCCTCTTCTCTCGTCTCTGTTGACCGAGTCTGTGTTGGTGATAAAGTTTGGTGAACTTTGACCTGCATGTCTCAACAGTTTCTATGTAAAGCAGCTTAATGATCAACATCTATCTGCTTTGAATAAAGTTCCTGTGCAAACAACAGAGAGATGGAGGAGAACAAGAGTTCACTGTCATGTTTCATATTCTCACCTGTGACATCACTGCAGACTGGCTTGTAAAGTTTCTCACATGGTACATCGTTCCAGAGTCCAGTGTACATCTGTCCACAATGCTTTACACCGCGCTTATTGTTGGGTTCTCCAGATGACCAGTGTCTGAAGGTGCTCTCTCCAGGTTTGTAGAAACTTCTGTCTGACAGTGACCACCTCCAGCTCTCCACGTCGTCGTACAAACCTATCCACGCCAGCTGAGAGGAGTGGAAGAAATGTTCAGACCTTTTTCTTTTTGCAGACTTTAGAACCAGCCTGTATGGATAGAATTTGGCGTCCCTTTTAACTACGATGGACATCATTTATTTGACGTTTAGATTTGATACTTTGGCTCATGTCCCCTCTGTTAACATGGAGGAGGAGGAGGAGCTTATCACCTTTACTGCAGCCTGTCACTAGAGGGAGCGCCAATCTTTTGGCTTTACTTTAGGGAAGCTGTCGTCCATCTTTTTATAGTCTATGGTGGGCAGACTCCAGGGTCTATCTCACACCGCTCCCTACACCCTGCCCCTCTGCGTCTGTCACACTGAGGCATTGACATCAACTCTCCATCATCACCTCCTCCACATGAAGCTAAATAAAATAAGGAAAATGTCCAGATTGAGTGTTTTTTATGCCTAGTTAGAGTCCGTGTCCATTAAGGACCCTCTTTAAGGCTGGCAGCGCCCACAAGACGCTCATTGATGCTGGGTTATGAAAGTTAACTTCTGCTTCCCTCCATCGTTGCTTTACATAGTTCTGTGTGAAAGGGGCCAGAGTGTTTACATTGAGGGTCTCTCTTGAGAAGTCTGTCCTTAAAACCCACCTACACAGTTTAAGGTTTCTCATCGGGGATTTGTTCTTAGCTAAGAATCTACAAACACACTCATACGCACATCTGAGTGCTGAAGTGTCAGATTCTGTGTTTCTTAATCGGCATCCCGTGCTCGATCGTTTTTTAGACTTTTATCTGGACGTACCCGACGTCTCTGGACTCCCCGTACCGTCCTGTGGGACTTCTGTGGGAGTGGCACGCACACAAACCCCTGCAGTCTCACGCCCTTATACGGGAACAATATGTGTTTTTTCATGTAAATTAGGAAAAACACGCTCAAGCCTCCAGTTTATGAGTTCATGTCATTCATCAGTTGGAGAACACAGTTTGTTCAAGGACCCGTCATGAATCCCACATCGTACACATGCATCATTTGAGACAAATCTGAAGAAGATATTTGTGAATGACGCCCAATAAGAGTAGAGCGAGTTCTTGAATGTGTCTAAAAATAAAAAAGGAACCAAAGTGCCTGACTGACCTCTTTCCATAAAGTTGCTATGAAATGAAGAAAGCATGAAGAGTTGACTCACATGGCTGTAGGAGACCATTCTCTTTGAATCTGCCTTTGTGTTCAGCAGCTCCACGTCCTTCATGTTGTCGATGGAGGCCAGGTCGGTGTATTTGTCTCTGCAGTAGCTCAGAGCTTCAGTCATGTTCTTTGCCTCATACACAAAATAATACTGACGTCCAGCATGTGTATAAAGGGCACACAGTCCTGCGGGGATGGACAGACATAGAGATGAACAATCAGAATCAGATTTATTGTCCAGGTATGCTTACACACACACACAAAGAATTTAACTTCAGTGAACTGTGCTCTCTTATGTACAGGTACAACATTACATATCAACAATAAACAGAATAAGAAAAGACTAATATTTACATAAATATGAAACAGTGCAGTGGTGAATAGTGCAAAAGATGCTGAAGTAACATGATGAGTAAAATGCAGATATGTGACAGATGGGTCAATTAAGATGTCAATTACAGTATTTACATAAATTAGTGTGCGTGTATTATCATTTAAATTAAATAATATATATATATAGACATATATGTATCTTCACAGTGACGGTTGGTTTAGAGTTATTTCACTGCGACAGGTCTGACACTCTGTGACTGTTTAGCGTTCATCAGAGTGACAGCCTGGGGGAAGAAACTGTTTTTATGACGGGTTGTTTTTGCGTACAGTGATCTGTAACACAATATAATAAGAGTATAATAATAGAATAAGAGGACATCGTCAAGCAATCGTCTTCTATTATCTCATAATGCTGTCACCAACGTTAACGACAGAAACATTGTATGAATGAATGAATCATTTTTTAAAGATGAAGTTGGTCTTGCCTGATACAGCGATGATGCTTAGAAGAACTTGATCCATCCTCTCGTGTTGTCCTCTCCGTCCGTCTGACTGTTCAGACCAAGTGACTCTCTGAGTGAAACATTCACTTCTTTTACGACTCTTCTGCAGACACATGGGGCCGTTATTGTCGACTCGTTTGCATATGATTTCATGCTGTTGGTGTTGACAGCCCTGAATGTTCCTTTTATATTTCAAATTCTATTTTGTCAAAAAGAAAAAAAAAATATTACAAATGTTTAGACAAAAGAATCCACCTTTCATGACAGCCCCATAAAATACTATTTTATCTCTGTCAATTAAAGATCAGGAAATTATTTTTTTTGAACTTTTCTAACCAAAAGTCAGTTTCTATGAGTAACACTGAAATATTTGAGCTTTGGCTCTTTTACACCAGCAGAACATGACCCAGTTTTTTTCTTTCATTTGAGCATATTTATATTTTGTTGTGATGAATAAACATCTTCTGTTTTCCATTCCAATGTCTGTTTGTGTTATTGTGTCACAGTGTACTAGCGGATAGTTTTGTTCGTGTTTAGTCCCGCAGTGTCAGAATCATGTTGTTTTTGTTCCATTTATAATTATTGTTTTGGATCCCGCGAAAGAATAAGATTGCGGTTACAAGCGGCAGAAATGAGTTTCCTCTGGAGGGTGCCTGGGCTCAGCCTGAGCGATAGGGTGAGGAGCTCAGACGTCCAGGGGGAGCCAGTTGAGGTGGTTCAGGCATCTGATTAGGATCCCTTTGGATGTTTTCTTGGCACCCTGGGTAGACCCAGGGCTGCGGGAGGGAACACCTGGGAATCCCCCAGGAGGAGCTGGAAGACGTTGCTGGGATGTCTGGGTTGACTTACTGCCACCGCGACTCGACATCGGATAAGATGGATGGACAGTATCCCACGCCTTTAATGCCCATGAGATGGAACGAGGTAGAAACGCGACTCTTGGCAGAATAACTGTAAATGATGTGCATTAGCCTCTTCAGAATTATGAACCCAATCGGCCAGGCGATGGCGCTGTAATTAAGAAAACAAAACTCCATCTTTGAAAGGCAACACCCCTCACACTGTCAGTCGGATTGACTTACAATCTGACAGCCAGGTCCAGCTCACTGTGCTCTACAAAAAGCTTGGACCGCCATGATGGATTTTCTGCCATTTTTATCACTGTCGACATCTCCTCCTAAACTGTAGATCCAATTGCGACCAAATTTGCTGTGGATGCTGATTGGATGAAAATGTTTAAATGTTTTATAAAGGTTGTTTATATCTTATTTATTTTATAAGATATTGACCAATAAACTTTGACAGGGGCGGACCTTATCAGAGAAATGGCCATAACTCATTAACGATTCATCCAGTCATCATAAATCTTGGTGCAGATGTTCAGGGTCTGGCTGGAAATGGGTGTTAGTACGTATTTTCATGGATTAATTCATCTTGATAATTCTGTGGACATATCTTTAAATTGTGTCAACCATCTCACAGTAATTCTTCTTTTGGGTCTGTGAAGCTGTAACCTTATATGGGTGAAGCACCTAAGTAGTAGCAGATCTGTGTTTGGAGAGGAGCCAACTATATGTTGTCAACAACTGTTTGCTAGACACAGAGTCTACATCTGATACGTATACAAATCAGTGTCATGTCATCTTTATTGTTTTATAGTGATGCACCCAAATAGGAAGGAATATGTTGGCTGTATCTTCTAGCAGAATATAAGCCACACTGTGTGATAAAGATTTGGTCCTACCAAAGAATTTAGATCCTGAACCAGTGCCAAAAATATCCAACCTGTGTATCCCAGAATTGGGATGCACTGTTGCACGAGGCAAACGTGTGAGATTCCTGCAGAGATCAGCGCCACAAAACAAACAAGAAAATCTGTACTGAATGATAATCATGTTTTTTCAGGAAGTTGTTTGAATATTCATGACCTTCTTCAACACATCTTCACATCCGTTCCGTTAACTGGATAGAGCAAGACCATTTAAGAGAATTATTCTCTCTGCCAGTTTAAAGATACTTCCAGATATTCCAGAGCCAGAAATATTCATGATGAGAGTGTCCACTTACCGTATGTACTTTAAATGGCTCAGAGATTAAAAGAGTTGATGAGTATTAAATATCTAGGCATGTGACTCGATGAGGAGTTTAGATTCAAGATTTTTATTTATCACATGCTCATACAGATGTGCAGTGAAATGTAAAAACTGTTCCGCAAGGCCATGCAATAAACACTCAAATTACTAATACACATAAATACAGTAAAATAGAATATAATGTAAAAAATAATTATTTGAATATACAAAATATAGAATATAGAATTATATAAACAGTGTAAAGTGTCCAGGGTGTCAAAGTGCAATGTACAGATTAGAATGTGTGGTGTGTGTGCATCATGTAGTCACAGTTCTGTTTTGTTTTTAACTGAGGAGAGTGGAGTTAACAGTCCGGACAGCCGGAGGAAAGAAGCTCTTCCTGAGTCTTTCTGTGTTCGCCTTGATGTGTCGAAGGCGCCTGCCAGAGGGTAGCCATGTAAACAGTCCGTTACCTGGGTGGTGGGGATCACTCATGATCCTCTTTGCCCTGGCTGTGCTCCTCCTTGTGAAGATGTCCTGGATGGTGGGGAGTGTTGTACCCATGGTACGCTCTGCTGACTTCAGCACCCTCTGCAGGGCTCTTCGGTCACGTACAGTGCTGTTCCCGTACCACTGGGTGATGTTTCCAGTCAGCACACTCTCCACCGCTCCGGAATAAAAAGTCTTCAGGACCTTCACAGAGACTTTGAATTTCCTCAGCTGTCTGAGGTGATAGAGGCGCTGCCTCGCCCTCTTCACCTGACTGTCTATGTGGGTTGTCCATGTTAAATCCTCAGAGATGTGCACCCCCAGCTACTTGAAGCTGCACACCCTCTCCACCAGCGTCCCATCAATTCTCAGTGGGGTGTAATCCCTCTGCTGTCCTCTCCTGAAGTCCACAATCAGCTCCTTGGTTTTGCTGACGTTCAGGAGCAGGTTGTTGTCCTGGCACCACTGTGACAGGTTTCCAACCTCCCCTGTATACGTCTGCTCATCATTGTTGCTGATGCGACCAACAACCACCGTGTCATCTGCCAATTTACAGTTTACATTAAAGTCTCGTCTTCAAGTAGCGACAGAACGTGTTCTTTGTGTACAGAAAGATATGTGTGTAGGTTCTCTGTCATCCAGGTCATGGTCAATTCAAAGCTTGATCCAAAGGCAGTTGGACTGGTTGAAGATCTGAAGGACAAAGGACACTCCTTTGAGGATGACAAAGTGCATATCCTGGCCAGGGAAGACTGTTGGTTTGAGAGGGGGGTTAAAGAAGCCACACCTTCCCTTAACAGACGTGGTGGTCTGAGACACCATCTTTCACCAATTCTCTCTCAAGACAACAGAAGCCCCAGTCCCACCTTGGAACATGTGACTCCAACAGACGACTGGGTGGTAACGACTCAAAGCAAACGACTGATGTGAGTCATCCTTGATCATTAGCATGCTAATGACCCACAGAGGCTAACATTTCTAGCTCCGTCCACCAATTGGTTTAGATCTGAAGAAGCATTCGATGAGATGTGAAATGTCTTCAAGGACATCCTCCAGTCCAGTTGCCTTTGGATGGAGCTTCGAATTCTGTACACAAACAAACCAAATTGTCCTTCAGCCTGCAGAAAAATAATTGTTGAAGCTGTGTTCATGTCAGTTCTGGATTACGGCAAAAATGTAATTTACAGTATAGACATGCTGCAGCTTTACTCTAAAGCAGGGGTGCCCAACCTTTTTTGAACCAAGATCTACTTTTAAAGTTGCCAGTCTGCAGAGATCTACCAGTCCACATAGTGAGCCATAGCCTTTACCAACAGCCTACAAACGCATTTAATACTCACACAACAAACAGAAAATAATAAATGAGAGTTCTGTAAAAAATAATACAATATCGACATACTTTTTTTAAACTCTTATTTTAGGGTAGGCTACATTTTAATATTACGTTTGTATTTATATCACATATGTTTTTCCCTTAATTTAGTTACAACAAACAACTTTAATCTGTGTGGAGATGTTCACAGACTACAGCAGGCTGCTGTGAGATGATGTTGCTTTTGTTAAATTAGCTGCAGACACGGTGAGAGTGAACGGAGTAAAGTCCAACCGACCGTTTGACCGGGTCACGTGTGTTCACGCCTCGGTCCGTACGGATCACGGATCAACTGTGTGCTGTAGCACTGAAAGTAAACAGTAAAAAGGTTTGCGTGGTGGCTGGCGCTCCAGTGCAAGTGTGTGTGTGTGTGTGTGTGTGTGTGTGTGTGTGTGTGTGTGCTTAATACTCGTAGCATAGTTTCTATAGATAACTTTTTGGTAAAACATTTACCCCCCCGGTTTTACCTGCACGTCATTGCGCATGCCTGCACTCTCTCTTGCACGCTCTCTCTCTCTCTCTCTCTATCTCCCCCGCTCTCTCTCTCTCTCTCTCTCTCTCTCTCTCTCTCTCTGCTCTCTCTCTCTCTCTCTCTCTCTCTCTCTCTCTCTCTCTCGCTCTCTCTCTCTCTGTCTCTCTCTCGCTCTCTCTCTCTCTCTCTCTCTCTCTCTCTCTCTCTCTCTCGCTCTCTCTCTCTCTCTCTCTCTCTCTCTCTCTCTCTCTCTCTATCTCCCCCGCGCGCTCTCTCGCTCGCTCTCTCATGCACGCAGCATTTTCATGAATAAATGAAAAATACAAACAGGTCGGAAGTATACTTGGGCTCCCCACACAGGTATCGTGTGTGGGAAACACTGCAATGAGATGAAATTGAAATCACTTTTCTATTTTACAATTGTATTTTATATTGACTAAACATCTCGCGATCGACTGAGAATCAGTCAGCGATCTACCTGTCGATCGCGATCGACTGTTTGGGCACCCCTGCTCTAAAGACTCTGGACGCCGTTTTACACTCCGCCCTCAGATTAATAACAGGGCTCAGCACTCATCACTGTGACCTGCATGAGAAGGTCGGTAAGGCTTCTCTTGAAGAGAGCCGCAACAAGTATTGGTTTATAAAAAAATCCA